AAAAAAAAATAAAGTAAAAGGTCTGAAACCCGAACATCTAGCAATTTCAGTGCAGTAAAAGGTTGTATGTTGCCCAGAATACAACAGATGAAACAAAAGTGCACCATAGAGAGCTAGTTTTAGACTAATTCAAGTACTCCAGCTTTGCTATTTACTGTAAATAACACCACTGTCAAAGTTGGAAGTCGTTCTCCCTTCTTATTGGCCGACTGATCTGCTGTTTATTAATAGAGGCCTTGTTGTTTACTCCCTGGCACTGCTGGGTGCTCTCATGGATAGCGTAGGCTGGCAGCGAGTCTCTGGGTCTCTGACTGTGCCTCTGAGAAGGGGATCATTGTATGTAGGTATCTGTGATGGAACAGAGCTCCCAGGATTACCACCAGCCTGGCACCACCTGCTCCCATAAGCAAGGTCCTTCTAGAAGTGGGCTGCCTGCAAGCCGTCAGCATGAAGCGGATACAGAGTCTCTCCGCCCTGACTTTAGCACTGATTAGAGCTATCGATGGAGGTCCTGAGCATTATTAATCCTACTGAATATGTATGAAACCCTTATGTGTCCATATCTGTGTCATAACGTCAGAGTTTTACTTTAATCCTAAGGTGATTTTTTTTTTTTTACTTATCTTCCAGGGGCCTGGTATCCAGGGCTGAGGGCAAAAGGTGGAATAAGAACAAGCAGCTGGAATGTGGTCCGCTGGGAGCTGGTGTGCACGGCTCCTGGGTTATTTTCCTTCATCCAGGCTGAGTCGATGAACTGAAGAAGAATCCAAGTGGAAAGAGCAGCCAGTCACAGGAAGATGAATTTAAAATGGGACGAAGGCAGCTTATTTTTCAGTGTTACCTGTTTAACACAGTAGAGAATGTGGGGAGGGAAACAAACAAAACAACATGAGGCTGGTTTGTGCCGCTGGTCCACTGGCCGGCCTCTTTCCTTCTGTCCTTTTAGTAGCACTAATCCCTCTGCAAATCCCCTGCAGGCGAGGGCCATGAAAAGCCTGAACTGGGTCAGGATCGATGGCTGTCAGGATCCAGGGCTGCAGCGCTGGGTTCACTTTCACCTGTATGGTTTATCCGGCCAATATATGACTACGTTTGGGAGTAATATCGAGCATTACTGATATGTACTGTAACTGCAATTGGCTCACTAACAGCACTAATGTAGAGCTTTGAAGAAGAAACTACAGTATTTTCTAGAAGAGGCCTATTGTTCCACCCCCGGCCTCCCAGGAATCTGGACAGCTGCAACGCCCCACTGACAAAACGCTCACATGGGTGTGAAATTTTCTAATATCCCACGGACGTGTGTTGGAGAGCTGCCCCTGTCCTCTGCCAATGAACTTTTTTTAACAAGTTTTCACAACAGATGGTACTGATTCATGCTTTGTTCCACTCTTAATGTTTGTTGTTTTTATTGGTAAAATGCTGTGAAATCCCTGTGGTATGGTGTTGAGGAGGGGTCACGTGTTTAGCAGCATCCATGTGTTCAACTTTAGAAGTTGGTTCTGTAATGATTGTTCTGGGTAGAATACCTGAAGGAGTTCAACCTGACCTTAATAAAGAGTTAGTAAAAACTAGATGTTTTTGGAAGAAACTACATGTGTTTGGTGCTGTTGCCAAGCTTTTTCTGTGACTTCATAATCACATGAAAACCTAATGTGCTGGTTGAGTTATAGGTCTAATGGGAATGAATCGGGGCTTTAATTAAAACCCATGTGCACTAAGCTGTAATGCATTACAGTATATAACCCATAATTTGTACATGGCATCATAATGAGCTTATTCACAGTAGGTCATTGTCCATTAGTGAGCATTTTGAAATGTGAATGGAGTTGAATTATAAATACAATGAGGTGTCTGTTTATTTTTGTCCTGTCCATTGACATACATGAGAGGGTCAGAATATTAGGAACACCTCTGAATATAATGTTTTCCAGTACAACACCACCTTTAACTATGACCTCAATAATGAACATATAATTGAATTTATACATTTATGACAATCTCATGACATAAATGACATTTTGAGCTTCATAAACACAAATGTTAAGGCAGACGTGTTGCAATGAAGTGCATACAGATGTACAGGTGGTCATAATGTTATGCCTGATCGGTGTAAGTCACTAAATATCTGCTCTTTGACTGGGTGAGGATATTATTCATCGATGCTTTGTATTAAGGGCGGAGTGGAGACATTTTCTGATATGAGCACAGTATGATAGGTTAGCGTTGGTGAATTGTGTCCCAGGTAATGGTGTCTGTGAATTCAGGAATTGCACATCCATGGCCCATAACAGATGCCTTTCAGTGTTTGTTTAGTAAATTTCATTGTACTACTGTGCAATGACAATACAGGTATTCTGTTCTTTTCTTTGTGTATTTTAGGTCAGGTCAGGGTTGGAAAATGGTCTTAATTAATATGGGGCCGTTAAGATTTACAATATGACAGTGTGGCCTGGTACCTCCCTCTTTGGGGCCAAAGAATGGTTAAGCAGCACTTAACCTGAAAGGTTAACTTCCATAGGAATGCTCCCCCATTCTTTGGCACATTTAACTGTGTATTATTTTATTAATTGATAGTCATAATAGCTCACCTCAGTTAGATGAAATCACTGCAGTTGGTCAGCAGGTACTAACACACATATAAAAGGAGTTTGTACTTTGTACACTGGCTTAGATATAAATACAGAGCATGTCTATGGGGATGTAATTAAATATTTATAACTCAAAGCATAATAGTTATTAGCAAGAGAGGTCATAACAAATGTCCACAGAGTCTTATGCACAATCTGACATGAATTGTCATGGTGGCATTAAAACTAGGATACGTGGAGCAAAAATGTTGTTTTTCAGTAAAAGTTCAAATCCATAATTGTTTCAATATGTCATAAGTGTATATATGTCAATATAACTAGTCTAAGAAGCTTAAACCATTTGACAGGTGACCAAAACACGCAATTATGGTCTGTTTTAATTATTCTGAAGGAATGCACATATCATTTGACAGCTTCTTAGACAAAAAAACAAAACACACACACACACACAACTGGGTGGCTTGGACAATTTTTATTAACACGTTTACATGCAAACCATGGCAGGTAGTTCCTGGGACAACAGGTGCACATATTGAAAATTGAGCTACATCTCATATTTCTCAGGTACAGAGAGCATGTAAATATAGCCAGCAAGACAAAAGACTGCAAACTAAGAGTCAGGAGAGAGAGAGTGCACGTTAAGGTTATAAAGAGTGTCCTCTGATTGAGGTCAAGTGCCAGACTCTGCTCCATTATGTTACCGTCCCCCTCAAAAAAAAGAAGAAGCTGGTCAGTTTGTCTTGCAACCTTGTTATATCTTTTTTCTGCACTTATGTTAGTTGATAAAGCAGGAATTATCAGAAAATCTTTAACAGATAATGATAAAAAGAATCACAGTTTTGTTTTTTCACATTCCAGAGCCACTTTAATATCTGCTGTAGGTTATACTGTACAGAGAAGGTGCATCATGATGCTGTGTTTACCTTTTGAGATGGTGTGAGCATCACTTCTAGTCTAACACAATGGTTTGCTGAGACAAAATGGCAAACAGGTGATCATTTTAATTACCTCAATAAAGACAAAGCTCCCTTCATCAGTCTGTGAAAGTGGACATCAGCCAGAACAGCTTCAAATTACTTCTCACTCCAGCCAGAGTTTCAGTGACCCACAGTGAATAGTTAGCTTACATAACTAGATTAATGTCCTCTTTATTTTCCTCCATTCAAAATAGACAAAAACGTGGCATGTACTGTGTGATGAATATAAAATGGGAGCAGGTTAGATGTCTAGACATGATAACAAGAAGTCAAAACATGTCAGGAACCTGACAAAGACAAAGAACCAAAAAAAGGAACGGTGTTATTTACTGGTTCAACCAGCTTCCTACCAGAATGAAGAGCCATATGTCTGCCACTTAATATGTTATTATTCACATGTACTGGATAGGAGCTAAATGTAACTTCTTGAAATGGAAAAATATGCAAATGATCAAATATTTGCCCTCATAGTCATGCTGTGAGTGAGGAATTCCCAAGTGTGCACTATAAATAGTGAGGAAATTGTGAGAAGGTCACTGAATACTTAGTGATGCTGTATAAATAATTAAGCATTAGCTAATGTGGAATGATGCATATTAACCAGTAGGAAAACAATAAGGTTCAGTGGTCTGTTGCAGCAAATGTCAGCCAACAGAGACTGAAATGCAGTGAGTGAGACTTGGAAGCCTGTGGCCACCATTTGCATGTCAGGGTGGAGCTGCAGACCATTTCATTTAAAAGTAGCATATGTAACTTGTAGGAACTGGGTCAGAGGTGGATTTAGGCATACCACATATGTTTGATGTAACACACCTGCTGCTAACACAAGAACCCATCTGATGAAACAACCTACATTAGTTTGGCATTAAAACTAACTGCAGGAGGTTCACATCATTTTACCACCGAGACCAGTAGAGAGAACACAAGGAGCTTCCATTTATTAACAGGGGAATGCATATTCAAAAAAACTGATGTTTAGCGTACTTGTAATCTAACTTAGGGAAGTTTCTGCCATTATTAAGTGAAGTGATATAGTTGCACAGTGAGTTTAAGGAAACGGTTTGATGTTATGGGAAATACACTTATTACCTTGTTAGTGGAGAGTTAGATGGAAAGATTGCTCCGCTCTCATATCTGTCTGTTATACACAGCCACAGCAGAAGACTGTAGCATGAAAACTTGTGTCTGTGCGAAGGTTAAAAATGCCAAACAGTAACTTAATCTGATACAGTCCCCTTGAAAAAAGGGGCGCTTTTGCATTTGGGTTTTGTTCAGATTAAACAAGCCAGATATA